CACATTCCTCAAATACTTGAGTTCATGAAGAAACTCATTTTCTCACAATATTTTCATAAGAGTATATTAGCTCACCTCACATTTTATTGTCACTAATAGCTCCTTGGTCATGTAAGCTTAAAAGTTTAACTTATGTTTTGAAATATATCAACCCAAAGCCTTTTCCACTTTGGTTCTCAAAAGCTTTCATGGAGGCACAAAATTGAATCACCTTAAAATTGTTGTTCCTCGAACACTCTCCTCCATCTCCCCATCATGTCATTGTTGTGCCTCGATCACAAGATCAAATAAAATAATAATTAATGAACTTATCAAAAAATGTCGATAAGAAAATATTATCGAAATAGACGTGAAAAGTTTACTTACTTTAAGGCGATTCACGTATTTGCGGAGAATAGTTCAACCAGTGTAGCAGAGATATACATAGCATGTCGCCCCTAGGATGCTACAATTTTATAATAATACTCTATGAATCTGCACTATTTATATAGTCACCTTACTCAAAAACATTTTTCTTTACCCAAGAATATTTAGAAGATATAGTAAAGTAAGAAAATTAGGAGAATGTGGAGGAACTTCTTTTTTGAGCAAAAAGACATGTCTTATTATAGGACTCATGATCTTGTAACTCTTATTTGTAGGTTAATGATAGGAATAAATTAGGCAATTATTATAAAATAATGTGCCCTCAAATAAGACAATTAACTTACAACAGCTAGTTTGACCAAGTCCTTAATGAGACAATAAATTTAATTTCTAAAATATATTATTTTATTTTTTATTAATATATTTAATTTTCAACATATTTTTCATGGGTTTACATAATATATACTCTCATTTTGCTAAACTTGGCCCAATATTGAACTTACCACTAGCTGTGATATGTGAGACATACGACTTATCGGAGCGATATTGAGTGATCTATTACATGTTTTGACACCACATTAGAACCAAAAAGCTAATTTAATAATTCCATGAGTCTTTACATATAAATAACCCACTCTTTATTTCTCTATTTCTTCCATGTGAGATCTTTAGTTCTTCACACTTACAGAAAATACACTTCAACAATAAGTTCTATCAGTATTTACCAGTTGTCGATTTGTAAGTTTAATTTTTCAATTTTGTTATCATGTAGGAACAATTTAAGCCGCAAGTGTTTGAAGAGAGTGTAAGAGCAAGTGCTCCTAGCACTGCTCATATAAATATATATAGGTGGAGGAGGGGAGATGAGAGAATAGAGTGCTTGGGTTCATCCCAAGTTTTGGTGCCACTCCTGAAACCTTACCACAAAGTCATTTACGTGGTTGGAGACGCTAAAATCGATTCAATCGCTAAAATTAGAAACCAGGGGCTGAAACAGTTTAATCTTTGGTTTGATTTTACATGCATTGGTTGGTGCCTCATTCTTCCTTCTTTTCTCCATTGCCTATTTTCAAGAAAAAAAATTCTTTCATCCTTTCTTTAATTTTCTTTCCTTTCTTAATTGTTATTGCTGCCACTTTTCCATTCCTTTTCCTTCTTATGAAACAAGATGGGTACTATATTTTCTTTTGTTCTGTACATTAGAGAATTTTAGAGAAGAGCACTACTAAAATTCTTAATTTTAACAACCATTTATCAGCAATATGGGTTTATTTGTTGGTCATATAAATTTATACCAACAAAACTTACATTGCTGATAAATATACAGTACCTTTTCCTTTAAAAAGTACACTTCACATTCAGCAACAATGGTTATGTTGCTGAAAAGGATAATCAGCAACATAAACCTTATTGTTGAAATTTGCTAATGGCTTAAAATATTAGGTGGAAAGTTTATTGATAAATGTGCAATACTTTTTCCTTTTTAAAATACACTTTACATTCATCAACAACAATTATGTTACTAAAAAAGGAGAACCAGCAATGTAACCCTCGTTGCTGAAATTTTCCCGATGGCTTAAAATGTTAGGTGAAAAGTTAAAAGGCTGATATGTTTAATTTTTTTGGGAGACTACCATAAATATTAATTAATTGATCTCAAATATCAAATTTATTACTAAATCTAATTAATGTAATTATTATTAAAATATTTGAAATTAAAATGGTATCCATCCCTCCATCTTCTCCACGAATTTCTCCAATCTTCTTCGATTCACCCTCTTCTTCCTTTCTTCCCCTTCTCCAATGTTGGAAAATTCTTCTTCCCTTTTTCTTCTTTAACTTCGGCATAAATGATTTCCTTCTCTTTCATCCACAACTTCTTCATCACTTTGTTGTCCCTTTCTCTTCTTCCTTCTAATCTCTGACCTTGTTTGGCTCAATCCTCTCTTCTCTACCTTAGCTCTTCCCTTCCACAAAACCTACTACCCAAGTCTGTTCTCAATTTGCATTTCACAAGATTTTAGCATCCACTCAGATTTACCCCTCGATCAGCTCAATTCTCTCCTCCCTACCTTAGCTCTTCCCTTCCACAAAACCCACTACCCAAATTTGTTCTCAATTTGGGTTTCACAAGATAGATCTGCCTCTTTCTTTCTCTACAACCACCAGTGCCAAGCCTCCTCTCCACTCCTACCTTTCCCCCCTTCGATTGAACCATCGAAAACCCAATATTCTCAATCTGACAAGGCTACACAACGGGGAACCCATCTAGGTTCCCAAATCTGCAAATAAGTTCCTAGATCCCTAGTGACCCAACTACAACTCAACAATAAATTCGTCCTCTAGTTTTGATTTTAAGTTTCTTTGGCATTTGGGATTTTTATGGTCATGTTTTGATCCTTTGTCTTGTGTTGATAGATTTCTACTTATTTTGTAAGTGAAGATTTATGTATTTATTCATAAACTATGACCATAATCTTCGAATTTGAGTTGTTAATCCAATTTATGTGGATGGGAATGCAATAGGGTTCAAACCCAAAATTGGTTTTGAAACAATTTCTCAAGCAATCTACTTAAGTGAAGCAAATTAATAGGAGGTAGTTTTGACGTGAAAAGCAAAAGTTGAGGAACACAATTCAATTTGAAAAGCAAAAGGGAGTCACAATTCCAGTGGCTGGATCCAATATGTATTTTTGGCAACATGAGTCACGTCGGTGAAACCATACTTTCAGTAACAAGAAGTATGTTGCTAAAAAGGGTGAAAAATTCCAGTGACTGGTTTTGGTGACTTTTTAGCGACATGAGTTATGTTGGTGAAACTCTATCTTTAGCAACAATGGGCATGTTGCTGGAAAATCAACAACGTGAAGCTTGTTGCTGATGTATTACCCATCAAGATTTCTCCAATAAAGACATCAGCAACATGACTCTCGTTGCTAAAAGCAACATAGTTGCTAGAAAATCAACAACGTGAAGCTTGTTGCTGATGTATTACCCATCAAGATTTCTCCAATAAAGACATCAGCAACATGACTCTCGTTGCTGAAAGCAACATAGGAATCACTTTCACCAAAATGCTACCATGTTGTTGAAAGTAAGAATTTTAGTAGTGGAGAAAACGGAAAATTAGGATGTTATATCATTAAAATTATTAAAACATTTGACTATAATAATTAAATATATGAGATATAATGTGATTTTAATTTTATTAAATTTATCATAAGATTATTATTAAATATCTTAATATTTTTAATATTATGATATTTTGATTTTCTTTTCTTTTCTTTTTTAAAGAAAGAAAATTCTTTTTAATTTCAAGTTATATAATAAAAAATAATTCTTTTCATCTCTTGATCTACATACATCACTAAAATATTATGTAACTTGAATATAAAATCTTTTATTTTTATTAAAAATTATTATTAAAATATTTAAGTAATTGGCAAAGGAAAGGAAAATTATTTTACTATGCAATGACACTAAAATGACCAATCTTATGAGCTACAGTTACACTAATTAATTAATCTGTAAGGCTCGGTACCAATATAGCTACTGCACATAATAAAAGCAAATGATTGGTGAGCTCTTCTATTCTATGTGAGATTGTTGATATAGTATTGTAAGTGAACGGCATACCTAAATCATTTCCCCTGATGCAAATATCCTGATATTTCTTCTTTCTTAAAAAACAGTTGTTTTAACTTCAAATAACTTAATTTTATTTGAAGAAGAGTTGCTTTCATTTCGAAGATTAAAGAATTGAAGTGAATATTAATACGTTCTAAAATTGCTGTCTCCACAAATAAATTTTATTTAAAATTAATAATTTAAAAAAAATTA